AAGCGGTCGCGGGTACAAGAGATCGTAAAGTGGTCGTGGACGTAAACGATTCGTGGATCGAATCTTAACCAGTTAATTAAGTATACCTTCTAGTCGAATTACAGCTGCAATTTACCTTCTCAGAAGGTAAGCACGATCGAGGTGCATACCTTTCTAACAATTTCATGGAACTGCTGCTATCTGCAGGACTACGATTGCCATAAAGTGCCATGATTGCCAGTAAGAATCGGGGGCAATTTGGCTGCTATTCAACAGCTTATCATTCTTTTTCTCCAAAAAGCATTCTAGTCATACCTTAATTCCGATTCTCAGCCTAGAATTCGTTTTCAATTCAACTGACGAGGGCTTAGCATTAAGATAAACTATGACGGACCGGAGTATAGCGGGAAGCGTTTGTGGAGAAGCAGGAAGAAACAACAAGTCCAGGAAGGGAGAGTTGTTTGGTTACATGGTTTCATGACAGACACAAAAGGTTGCATGAACTGGAATCTATCTGGCTTAGCCTTTACAGGACAAAAGAAGTGAATCTGCAGGTTACGGTAACCAGTGTTTTTGGGACCTACACTAGTCCTCAAAGGTTTCCATCTAACATTATGAATAACCCCTCCTACCCAGCCATGCGAAGCTGGCATAATCAAAAGAAAACTTGCTTTTGGTTTGTGCAAGAGAGATTTCATAGATTTATCGTGATGGAGCAAAAATCATTAAAAAGTTAGACAAAGGAGGAAGGATGTGGCCATTGCCAGGGAGGAAAGTTTCAGGTGCAGTGATCCTACGGGTTTTTACGGCCTCAAAAGATAACAAGCCAAGTTTAAGCACCATTTTAGTTGCCGTCGTGGTGGGAGAGATTCTCGCTGAAAATATTTAGAAGTCGGAAAATTCACTGAGGAACTTGTTCAGAGGTTAAGCTGAGTAATAACTGACGTGTGGGCGTTCGTAATAATGAGAAGTTCATCAAAAACGCTCATCACTTACAATTAGAGGAAGTGCAGTAGCCGCAGGACACCGCTACTCGCCAACTAAGTGCAGGGTGTCTGCAGTGAAGGCTAGTACCTACTTGGGAGAACGTGAGCAGCAAGGGAAAAGAACATCAAAACGGAAAGCCCATCTCTCAGATTCTGGCCTACCCTCCTAAGATAGCTTAAGCACTACATACAGTAAATTACACGATTATGTTTACCATTTAGATACAGTAATGATCCGATTTTCCACAATTTCCCACCAACTTGGTGCTCTCCGGTTTCGAGCCGAGTCCCCATTTCTTTTTTGGTAGTTCGCCGCCCCCAACTGGTGGAAGCAGCTCTTCCTTGGACTGCTTCCTTCAGGCGCTGAAGTGTTACTAATGCGGATGGGCGGAGTCATGCCAGGGATTATAGTAGCCTGAAAGGAAAAGGGAAGTGCCATCTGTTATAAATGAGAAACTATGGGGGTGGGGGAAAGCTCCAATTGACACCGACAATGGAATGCATTGGGCCGAGTGGTCGCCCACAGGGATTGAGAACGATGTGATTGTTTTCTTTACAGGCAAATCAACTTCACAGTTGTAGAAATTTTTTCAAATGGACAACAGATTTTAATTACTTCCACACAGCAGACTCCCACGCCGGTAAGACGGTAAACGGGAAGTTAAATAGGTATTTGTTTTTTAGTTACTGCAGATTTGGTAGACGTCTATTCAGAACGAATCGCACCAAGAGGAGTTTGAGTTAGGGGAGTGGGAGAACAAAATAATAAGCAGGGAGGAAACAGTGCTTACGTCGTTAGGCTAAGCACTAGACATATGTGGTTTTAGGCAGTATTCACTGAGTGTATCCAGCGCGACGGAAAGGACGAAATGGCTGGAGGCGGTAAACAATCAGCGCAACGGACTTTCTAAGGAAACGAACAATCATGCTGAATGGAGCGAACTGCTCACCGTCGAAGAAAAATTCATCGTTTCAATACTTCTGGACGAACATTGCATGAGAGGCATTCAAAATAGCCTTTTATTTTAGTGGAGGAAATTCTGAAGTAATGTCATGCAAAATATATGTGTGGGCAGGTAAATATCACCCACTGGGAACGTAAGGACAAACATTCGAGGCCTTTGAAAGCTTTTTGATGAACTGTGTCACTGTGACGTAAACCTAGAAAAGGTCAACGTGTCGTAGTCGCTTCAAAACTCTCCTACAAGGACCCTTTCGAGGTGAAAGTGTAAGAGATGTTCTTACCCTTGAAGGGCATCTTGGCTTCTTTCGGTTGAATTTTTGCCATCTAAAGTTCTAAGGTGAAAAATTGGGGAGAGGGACAAATCTCCGGGAAAAACCGCACTCTAATAACGCATTGTCATCGAATCGGTACTTCTGGCAACTTATTGCAGTTGCACATTTCAGAGACTGCCTGGTAAGATCAGTGGTTACGAGGACTCGGTATAGGTTTGCATTAGGATTGGCATGATTGGGATCGATTGGTAGGTTCACTGGCTCATGTTGAGCTTGTGCCAGAAAAAAACTAGGTCNGGGGAGAGGGACAAATCTCCGGGAAAAACCGCACTCTAATAACGCATTGTCATCGAATCGGTACTTCTGGCAACTTATCGCAGTTGCACATTTCAGAGCCTGCCTGGTAAGATCAGTGGTTACGAGGACTATTCGGGATAGGTTTGCATTAGGATTGGCATGATTGGGATCGATTGGTAGGTTCACTGGCTCATGTTGAGCTTGTGCCAGAAAAAAACTAGGTCGTCAGAGAAGCCTAATAAATCACAGTCACTCAACAGAGCATAGCAATAGGAAATCTCCCTGGAAAGGAACTCCTTGGAAATCTTAAAAGAACGGTTCGATTTGCCTCTCTTTTTTTACACGTTAATCCTTAGCGATTCTATGCCAAATTGAGCGCACAGGGGTTCCTCATTTTTCGCAGCAAAAAGGGAATGAGCAGGCAAAATAATGGGCCACGAGTGGTGATTTGTTGAAAAGCGATCTATTTTTCAGGAAATTCATCTTGGGCTAGACAATGGCTCGATAACAAGAAAGGAATGAGAAAAAGGACTGACTCACTCACGTCAGTTGACGCTTGTGACACTATCAGAGGCAGGCTATAAATGGGCGTCACCCCACTTATGAAGAAGGAAATGAGTGAAGTCAGCCAGAGGAAGCTTGCCAAGGTAGGTAGGGAGAGGTGTGGCGGCGGCTCACGCAACGCGGCGCTTACGAGCTAAAATTATGAGGTGTAGTCCATGGGGAGCCATCAGCAGGAGAGGGGAGGCAGGGCTAAAGGAGGTAGTGATTCTCTCAGGTGGCGCTGTGCTCTGTGTGGCTACTACCGCAGAGAGCTGCTTGCAACTCATCGATTGCCCCCCCCCCTTTCCTCTACTCTGGCCACCCTCGGCGCTATGCCGTTTACCATAGCAAGATCATGACCATGGCTTCTCATCAGCACTCCATTCAGCGCTTTCAAGCTTTAGCGTCCTTCTTACTGCGTTGCTATGCGTCATTACTTGAAGAGGGGCACCCATTCGACCCCGTAAAGCCAGCGGTAATCTCGTGTGAGCATGGATTCTCGTAGTTAGACGGAAGATGAGCTGTCAATCTGTCTTGAGTTGATCACAACTTTAGGTAGATATACCAGTGTGGTCTAATCCAGAGCGGAACCCATTTGAGACCGCCCATGGTCGTCCAGTCGAAAGCTGACGTTGCCAATTTGTTGCCTTCCCCTCTTGAATGTGTAATGAGGCGTCACGTTGTTCATTTACATGGAGAAATAGCTCATGAAAGCCGACAGCAACGCTTCCACATTGAGGATCCGTGACGCCTAATCCTCCTCCTTGAAGCTCTTGCAAAGCCGACAGTCGATTTTAAGAGGGCATCGACTGGGAAGAGCTACTTTCTCGCCCATGAAAGGGTTCCCGCTAAAATCCTATGAGGTATATCAAGTTGAAATACTCGGAATTTCTAGGATTTTTAAGACACCACGAAAAATATGGAAAAGAAGGTAGGCGAGTTTGTTCTTCTCCAGGTCAATCAGTACTTTCGTGCTTCCCTCATTGACCGACCCAAGTAAGTCGCTGTAAGGGCAAACTTCGCATCTAAATGCTTCTACATTCCTGAGTGGAACTCGTTAGCCCCAGAGCAACGGACTTGATCAACACCAAGGAGTTGTCCTTGCAGGGGTTCACTATAAGAATGGCTTATGAGACATCCCGTTAGAGTAAACATGCGACCCCATCGTAAGCCAGTTGTGGGCTGTCAGGTTGGGAAACGGCCTAGATAGACCCAGATAGTGCGTTACAAAGGCTGAAAAATGTGAGTGTGTATGCGCAAGTACCAGCGGTATTGTAGAGGCAGCACCACTCACAAAGGACCTCATGAGAGGAGTTATAACAACTTGTCATGATCCATAGCAACAGTGAGAGGCAACTCTGGACAGTTCTAGCTTGATGTATGCAGCTCTTTGCGCAATTGCAACAACTGGAATCTCGTCCAAATACCCGTTTCGTCATGGTGATCTCGTACAACCTGCATTTCCACTACTTTAGAGAGGCCTTATTTTTTTACAAAACCGACTAATTTTCTCGCTTCGTTCACCACAGACGCACAACAAAGGTATTCCAGAGTTATCGTGAACTTTTCCTCCGAGGTGACGGTCAAGTTAGATGATCACATTTATGGAACTGATTTGTAAGTAAACGTCAGAAGGGTTATGTTATCAACGGTGCCCATCCCTTTTCATATCTGCATGGAGACAAGTGGTCTATAATGAAAACTTCGGATCGACTTCTATCATTCACAGCACTTGACTGGGAGAAATGTCTTGTCTTTTTTTGCGTTTTGTCGACTTTCGTTTCATGACAGTTTTCAAATACAAAAAATAAGGTTGTGATCTAGCAGCCTGAAAAGACAGAGGAAAATGGAAACGCCCCTTCACGACCTTCACAGGCATAACAAAGACATCCCCAGAAAGCGTTTCCTGATTGCTAACAAAAACCGAGAGATTCTGGAAAATGTTTATCGATTGCTGCCTCAACTGGGCCACCAGACTTTGCTGTCAACGCGTTTCTCGAAATTCCAAACGTTCTCGTCGTTGATGTGGGTGTCGTCCAAATTCTTCCATGAGACCACGTACGGCGCGATAGTCGGCAGCACAGCTGCATTACCCGGTTTTGACGGCTTTGCCGGAGCTGAAAGAACGATGAAATCAACACAAAAAACGACTGCAGCGAGTGTGTCGATACTACTTTTTCTACTACACTGTAGTATACGGTGGTATGTTCAACCTTTATTCTATAAACCCTATAAATTTTCAAAGCAGCTCCCTTGTACAGGATGGGAGCTACACAGTCAGTGGAATATGCTTCTTCTCTGACAGTTCGAAAGAATTTACCACTTAACCTGAGAAGTTTATTTTAAGTGGTTTCGGAGTTTGGAGGCGATGTGGTGCCTATTTTTGACGGAATTCCTCAGTTGTTGCCCGCAAGGAACACGGTGAGTTCCGATTGTCATGCTCTCGGGAAATAAGAACAATAAAGTTTTGAATTTATTCACCTGACCGGAGCCGTAGCCTCCGGCTCAGAGCTACCAGACTTAAAAGAATTGTATAGGTGCACAAAAACTTTTGACTTATACCGAACCAGTGAACCTACAAACCCTTGATCACGATATTCTATAAGCTAAACAGAGCAGATGTTACAAATATGTCATCACACAATCAGTAGTTGCTTTATGGCTGTGGGCAAGGAAAGTGGGAATCTTGCGCATACGGGAGATAAAGTGAGCCAGCGCCAAGGTAACAGTAATTATATTCAAGTTTTCTTCATTCATCTACGGCGTCCCAACCCTCCTTTAACATCTTGAAATGTTCGACTGTCAGTTGACGTGGTCGAAATTGTATTCCATGCGAGCAAAGGGTGAAACAGCCTGGTCAAGTTGGACGGTCTCCTTCTGTCTGCCGCAGTCGGTACAGTTCTATGTATGAGTTTTCTTCGACTTGTTTTTTCCCTCGGTGGGAGAACATATAAACAGCTTATCAGAGTCTTTCTTGAAAACTTTTATTAAAGACGAGAGCAGAAGTTTTTTTCTAAACCGTGACTTTAAATCGATTCCATAACCAGCTTAAAAAATCCATGGAAAGAAAATGAAGGAAAGTAGCGGCGAGGAGCAGATGAGCGATAGAAGCAGAACCTAACTAAAACAATGCAGAAGTCCTTTGGAGTTAAAAGACTACCGTTCAACGTATAACCCTCAACTGTAACCCGTTTGGTCAATTCGGAAGCAGCCAGATTTTTCTGTTCAAATTATGCTGTAATGCGGGTTGACAATGGAACCATCCTCGAAGTTTACCAGCAGAAAAAGAAAAAGCAGCCGTCGTAACATCCTTGAGACCCGGAAGCACTTCAGTCATGCGCTTGTGGGTGCCGCCGGCACCCAAGAGCGGAAATTGGCTATTTTCGCTTCTTGTCACGTCGTTTAGATCTGCCAAGATAATCAAGCGTTGCTATTGGAAATGTAGCAAAATCGCTTGGAACAAGGGCCTTCCACGAGGTAGCTCGAGAGCTTGAAAACTGCAATGATAAAACTGGGGTTTCGGGACATCGTAGCTTGTGACGCTCTTGGATGGGTTTGACTTGGGATCTGGATTACGTCTTCCTGAAGCATGAAACACTCTCTATACAGTGTTTTCCTATTTCAAGGTGTCATCCCAATGTGCCGTAAAGCACATTTAAAGTCCAAAACAAGTCTTTGGACGTTAATGGTCTCGTCTGGGGGACGCGTCCACGCATTCGACTTTCATTAAGTATCGTAATGGGGTATTGAATGCGTATGTCGGCTATACAATGATTGCGGTGTCTGGCCAATGTAAAAGTCAGAGCTTCCATTCTTCCAGACGAGTCTGGTACTAAATCGCCCTCAATCCTGCGCATCTCGATTTCGCCGTTTCCTTTTGAATTTGCATAGTTAAGCTGATCGAGCTGAGTTAAGCTGAGCGGAGTGGTATGCCCTTGGAGTCCGAACTATTTGGTCCCATCGACCGCTGCCTTCGGCATTTCAATTTCCAAAGGCGAATATCGTATTTCCCTTCAGGAAGGTGTCGAATTCTATGGCTTTTGCATTACGAGCTACTTCAGTTGACGTTGATCAACTGTGGAGCCAACAAGCCCATTCTCCATATTATGGCGAACGTGAGTATAGATTACTTTCTGGGCTCTCAGCGACCAATATTCCTTTAGCTTTGTTGAGCCGGGGTGTTTCCATAGAGACCATCTGATTGAACATTATGGGAAAAAAAATGTAAACAAGCTGGATTCTCTAGATTCGCTGCTAAAAAGTGGTGATGCTCAAGTCGGAGGGATATGAGATACGTTCAAACAACCTGATTTTTTGATTCAGAAGGTGGTTTTGACAGGGTAACCCCGCGAGCTGCTTAGTTTCGAAGGACTTCCAAGTCGATGCGAGAGGTATGTACTCCGCCAAAGCAGTGGAAATAAGCAGAAATAGAAAAATCTGAGTTGGAACGGAGGACCACCCGTTTTTGAGGGTTCGAGAAAGCACCCTCAAAAATGTTCGAACAAGAAGCTCATTGAACTAGGAATTTGTGGGCTGTATGAAGGTGGACGGCGAACATCGTGAGTGCAGGACACACCTCTAAGACTTTCTAAGAAGCAAATATTTTTTTGGCAGACGAACTTTCCTGTCAGTTAAACCGTTCTGTACTCTTGGATTGAAGCCAAATCAGAATCAGGTCCAACTCTTCATTCTGATATCGTCCTCTTAGAAAGAGTTTTCGTCATATGGAAACAGCTAACTGGATAAAACTCATTCTCAATATGCAACTCCAATCCTCACTCTCTATTTTATGGTTATTTTAGGGTCACACTGTAACTGTTCAGAGGTTTCTAGTGAGGGAAGAGAAAAAAAGTCGAATGAAGGTCCACCTGCAAAAAAGGAATGGTGAACTGAATTGCTCAAATCGGGGAAACTGAACTTCAAAAAAAAGCATTTGTCTGTTCTGGTACTCCCTCGGAGGACTAACAATTGAAAGACTTCATACCTAAGAGGGGATGTTGAACCAGAGCCACATCGGAACCGAACCAATCCTTTGCATAGTTTGACTGAAAAGGAAAATTTTTAGTTTTCTGAAATCAGTCTCCATGTTTATCGAGAATTTCTGGAAAAGAGATGCAGGTGGCATGGGAGTTTCAGCCAACAAATGCAGTTTTTTCTCAGAACTGTGGGAATTCTGAATAGTAACTCCTTCATTTCATCCCATGCAAGGCAACCTCAAATCGAATCGCAAGCGGGTTAAGGCGGAAATTCAACACAAAACATCGAATAAATTGAAAAGTCATGTGGGAAAATCGTCGTCCCATAATACTTCAAGGCAAATTCTATCGCTCAGCTGGATGCCGTCTTTTATAGGAGTAAGCTTCATATCCTTATGAGTAGATGTGCTGTTTTTGCCTCTGTTGACTATTCCCCTTATTCAGCCCACTCGGGTAGTCCTTGTTCGAAGAGGAGCCGCTATTCGTCTTCAGCTATTAGTAGGGAATAGGTAATAAGGACAGTTGACTCGGTCAGCGTGAGCGACCTCAGCCTTCTTCACCGATCTATATCAGCTAGTTTCATCCTAAATGACGAACAATGAGACTGATTTGGCGTCGGTCGGTGTGTGAATCCCCCGATATTAATACCCACGAGTGATGATTAAGGAATGGGAGCTTATACTATTGAATTCGAACTGCAATCCGATCAAACAGATTTGATAAGAATCAACAAATTGTATTCAGGAAACAGGAAAGCATTTGCGTTGGCAATTGCTCCTCAGAACTATCCACTTTCTGAGAAGCCCCCTTCTGACCTTTGTTCCATGCCTGTTTGATAAGAGTTTTGAGAGATCGTTCTCCGCAACATGCCATCTGATTGGGAGTTTCTGGCTTCGACGTTCGCTTTAAATTGTCAGACACACCGATCAACCTACATTGGAAGGTTACAGAATTCCCTCTTTCCTTCGCTCAGTACGAGGAAAGGTGCCATCAGCTGTCACACTGGAGGGAGGGGGCAGGGCTGAGGACAGTTCAGGCCTTACATCCAGAGAATGCTGGCTCCAAGCCGAATGGAAAGGTGCCACAGCTGCTGAATTGAAGCGGAGCACTGAGAACTGTGAGAACTGTTGGCTTTTTTACTCCTAATTCAATATCGAACAGACCACTGACGATGAGGTTCCGCTAGTGCTGCGACTTTCGAGAGCGTCGTTCTTAGTATGAAGTATAAGCGGAAGCGTTCCCGGGTAAGTTTGGTGACAGTTTGATAAAATTCTGACAACACCAGCGTGCAGTCTTTTCCACAGTGTTCCGCTTGATACCCGAAGAAGAGTAATTTTGTGGAGCCGAGAATGAAAAATATTGGAACTGCGTTCACCGTACTGTCCTTACCGGAATGGGTGAGGTCAATTTGAGGCATCTAGCGTTTTCGCGGAGAAGAGCTATGGAAACTCTTAATTAAGAAGAATTTGAAAGTTTCAAAGAGGTGCAGAGTACAACCGTTCGAGTGCGAACCCTAGCAGGGTAGTCTTTGCGGGTGATCATATATTGTGCTCCTTTCCTAGAGGAATCCGGGAGGAAATTCTACATGCAGAATCGCTTGATTGCCAAAGTAATAAGAGTGACTAACGTTCTTAAATGGAATTCTAACTGCCGAGTAGACGTACGGTGAGAATTCGAGATCGGCAGCGTTTTGGCAGAAAGCCAAAGGCACGATTAATATCAGCAGAATCAGAGACATCTGGACAAGGTGGCGAGTCGCAGGAACTGGCTCCCAAGCCCCACCGCCTGATTGACGCATGATAAATGGAGTTGCACGGCAGATCGTTGGACAGTCGGCGGCGGACCTGGGTGTGTATGGGAGTTGCATAGGTTTCGATGATGCCGGGCAAAATATGTTTGTCACGAGCAATACATTGCCTGAAATCGTCTCAGGAGCGAAGATGACGGTTCTGTGTTCTGCTGCCCACGTTAGAAATTCAGTAGAGAAACAGCACTTCCACCGAAGAAACCGCTAGTCGGTGTTGTTTCTAGTTTGTCCGTTCTTCAGCATAGTCTGTAGCAACAGCTATGGAAAGGATTTTCCAAAACAAGAAACGAAACAGAAGAAGAATCATGGATATGAATGACTGCTGTTTAGCCTTTGCTTAGCCATCGAAAGGTTGAGGAATTGCTTTCTAGTGAAAAATGTTGAGAAGGAAGACTAGCAGCCTTTGAAACTACTAATTTTGCAAAAAAATTCAGCTATATAATGCTCTGAGGACTTACTGAGGATACTAGGACAAAGTTTTTTGAAGGTAACTATCTACGTATTCAGGATTATCCCTCGCTCTACTTCTATTTAGAATAGTTCAAAATAGTAGTGGCGTTTTGAAAGCGTGTGAAGCCCGTGTTGTGCTTGCGATGAACAGCCGATATGGAAGCCTACGCTTTCATTTTCCCAGACGAGTCTGGTAGCAGATGACTAACTTATAAGGGATGGTGGGCTTGTTCGGTCAATATGAGTGTCGAAGTATCAAACAGGGATTCGATATCCAGGTAATGGATGTGATAATATGGCGCCAACTGCCACTACGCTATCGACGTTGTTGGTACAAGAATTTAGAATTTAAATAGGAAGTTGATGTTGAAGTATCAGAGAAAAAATAAACAAAAGCAACGGCTATAACGGCTATCCAACGATAAATGGGATGAAAAACTAATCGAACAGTGATTATTGGTACATCAAAATTTGTGAAAATTGAAATAGCTGAAAGCAATAACAAAATTTCGAGAAAAAAGTCATCTTAGGAAGGAAGAAACCAAATTACATAAATGGTTGTATCGCGGGAATCGTTACTAGGTTGCATTACTCACAATAGAAGGAGATACTGAAGAAGCCTTTAAGCTTCCAGGAGAAAGGTCCAAACGATCGCGCTGTTGCGCCTCCAGCTGCACTGTCTGGCAGGTGAATAAGTCAGGGGATAGAAAAGTTTGGATGGATTCATCTACTGCAATGTAAACCAGTTCAAAAACAGCTGCTTCTAGTCAGTCTCCCTGTATGCATCGTAATTTCGAATAACAGTGAAAAGAGCGCCTCACAAACGCACAGCCCACTACAAGGCCCTTTTCACATTTCTGCGCGAATCCTAGGCCCATTAGTGTTCTCGCCTTCAGAGGGCACAAGACAGGGTAAAAAAAGAAGGAAAGGATGCTACGATTTTTGCGACTGGAGTCCGCATACATAATTGTAGCACATGGGACTACAAGTTTCTGAATTTTTGTCCATTGTATCTTCTTCCTTTCTTCAAGCGTTCAACTCGTACACATTCTATTATGGCTCTCATCTTTTCCATTTTATCTGGGGGAATCCAACGCGAGTATGCATTTCTGAGTCAATTTTGTATTGTCTCATATCGTTAGGGTCAAAAATCAAGGGATTTCGATGCACTATTTAACATCTTCGTAGCTTTAACATCTCCTTCCATTAGGAGAACCTTGGGACTATTGTTCTGGAGTGATTCCTTTGAAGAAGCTGCCTTGCTTCGACAGCTTCGAATACGAAATTTCCTTTGTTCCTTCCAACGAGAAATCGTAGTCACTTACAGTGTTTCGCTTTGGGATCGTTGTTTGATATATGAGAAATGGCTGGAGTTTGTTAATGCACAATATTTTCGGAGATCGAGGTGGTGTAGTGACAAGTGGGACCGACTGTCGACACTATAGCATACGTGGTCAAGGGATCGAATCCCATTTTGTTACGACTGCCAAGTCAATCCTGCCTTTCTACTGTCCACAGTCGATAGCTGGAACCTGATTTATTCAGTGGTAAGCCACACAATCCTTCATTATTAGTCTAAATAGAAATCCTGGGATTGATTAAGGCCAGCTGACATTACCCTTTATCCTTTCATAGTTTTTCCGATCTTCCCTAGATAATTTGGTGAAATACCTCAATGATAAGTGTCTCAGCATTGACTTCCTGATAAGACGTAGAGTCGTGCGAACAACTAAGAAAATGAAGTGGGAGAGGGTCCCAGCGTATTAGTTTTGCCCTCCAGTTGGGTTTCCTAGTTTATAGACAAGTTTTCGTAGCCTAATTCAGGATTTGATTGACGCCTTCATCTGGTTTCTTCATCCCACCATATGTCTAAGGTCCCAGAAGGCTTAATCTGTACCAATTCGTACAAATTCTGTTTGGTCGAGCTCTCATTAGCACGCAATGCAATTTTTGGCAGATTCTTCGAAAGATAAATATAGCTGAGTGCGGTTGGAAGTTTTCGCAGTAAGGAATTTGGGTACAGAGTCAAATAAATGTTTCCTTTTCTAGAAGGTAGGCTCGAGTTCTGCCTAACTTACTATGCACCTTTCTAGAGCTTACGTGAGCAATCGTTTGAGAATGCAACGAAGTTCCTCCTTCCTTCTCATCATAACAAACGTGTAGAAGGAGAGACCTGGCCAGTGAGTGAAAGGAACCACTCAGTGAGAGTTGGAAAGTAGGGAAACTGCTCAAGAGTTCCACATGATCACGTGATCTCAAAACATCCTATCCTACTATATATAATTCGCTAAGTGTGCCTGTTGCTTTGTCAACGCGTTCGTTAGTGTGTCGGTGTGTGTATGGCCGGAAATTCACAACTCCTGTTTCTGTGGACCTAGACAGTTCAAACTTGCACACGGAACACGATGGGATCACTCATGGCAGGTGCAAGGCCAGGCTCCGCCTAAAGGGGCATGGCGTGCGCGATAGTAATTTTGGGCCGCAAATCCACAACTCCTCATTACGGGGACCTAGAGCGTTCAGATTTGGGAGTACAGGTGGTAGTATGGGAACACTTTTGATGGGTAGCAGGGCTAGACTCCGCCTACGGGGGACGTGGTCCGTGCGAGTTAAACGTTTGACGGGAAATCCATAACTGCTGTTCCAGTGGACGTAGAGCGTTCAAATTTTGTAGGGTTACAGCTTTTCGTATCAACAGTGGAAACTCGGCGTTTCGATAAGCGATGAAGGGTATGACGTGATCGTAAGTACTCGTTGACAGGATGAGATAACAATTGATAAGAGATAAGGGGCTTGAAAAAACAAGAGCCACCTACCAACAAAATCTAACGTTTTCGGTATCCGTGATGTAGCTTCGCCTGTTCAGTATGTTTCATTTGGTAATACGGGATGGTAGAGCAGGGTTACAAAAACGTGTGGTGGGCGTAGTGATATTGACCCATTAGCGGCAATACGATAGCAGATGAGAACTTTGTTAAATTTCTGCTATTAGATCACGACCGCTACCCAGCAATGTTTGTGACTTGATGAACGATCCTCTTTGTTCGATATCATTTGCAACAAAACGTAACCGACTTTCAGTAATTTTGAACTATCAACTAATGATATCTCCGTAAAGAGAAAGGTCTTTTGATGACGACATCTGATAATGGTGTTTTCATCGCTCGAAACATTTGTGAGTACCGTCCAAGGCTTTGGTTGACTAACAGTTGAATCTTTATGGAAATTTATTTTGAAGAAAGAGAGCAAAAGATCAAAACTTCCAATTAAAGGCTTAAGCTCACTACAGCTAACACCATTTGCACTGCCCTGTTAGTCCTGGGTCAAATATCTTGTACACTTAAATACTATTTGTTTCAAAGTGGGGATAGATAGGTAGCCGACTACTACAACTTCGTCAAAGAAAGAAGGAAGCCAGGCCTTAGCCGGGCGACCGACTGGTTCAATATAAAAGAGGCAGTTTTTTCAAATTCAATTCTTTTTCCCACGAAAAGCAGGTATGCAAGACAATAATCGGCAAATATACAGACGCTTACTAGGGCATTTTTTATGCACAATAAACCGGGCTTCTCCACTTTACGGCACTCAATTTCTACAACAGCAATAACAACAACACGACAAACAACAAACAAAAGCGAGAAAAATGGCTAATGCCGTTAAGAGGAATGAAGGAATCGGTTGAATGCGGATACAACATTCACCCGAGCAGCACTCGAAGTAGTAAAACATGGTCGAAGGACCTGAAATAGAACAGTAATCCGGATCTATTTCTAAAATCTGATGGACTCAAATATTGGTGCTGTAAAAAAATTCAAAACTGAAAAAAGGACCGCTAATTATATATTATAATAATAATTTATAATAATATAATATAATAATAACTATACTACTCCCCATAGCCACAGCAAATTGTGAGTGGCAAAACTTGTGGAACCTGGGCCGATCACCAGGGAGAATGTGATTCCATTCAGTTACCACGCTGCTTCCTACCTACTGATGCTCTGGGTTCAACCTTTTGAACAATCATAAGGAACAAAGTGTGAAGCCTAATCAGGAATTTTGGCCGAATTCTGGTATGTCTCAGAAAGACAGGATTTCATCTTGGAAGAAAAAGAAATGGGGCTTCGGAGTGAGGAGAGGTCAAGCATGTATGGCAGGAGCCCAGCGGGACAGCTGAACTACAAGCTATTTAGAAACTTTAGCATATCGGCTGCGAAAAACTGTCGACAGATCCCACAAGAATGAAATTCTTGCTTTTCATAAAGCTAAGGACATCATTTTCACCCAGAGAAGACCGCTTTTTCCTAGTTCTGGTGTAGACTGATGCGTGGAGTATTCATGAATGATGTGTGGAGTGTGAATGAAAAACAACGTACATTTCATTGAATTGCATGGTTGGCTTTCTTTGAATAGCACGAGTCCACTAACGAACTCCAGCATAACCAACAATGAGCCCAGAGTCCGTAACATCCACATTTCCGGAGCTCGGGTGAATGGGCAGCGTTCAGCCGCATAACCTTATCAAACAGTCTTATCATGGTCCCCAAACAATGATTCATCATTCACTCAGACTAGGAATCGATACCTTGAATGGGTGGGCTGGTCGGTTCTTCCCTTCCTGTTATTCTTCTCGTGTTTGCCAGAGGTTGGAATTATCGAAGTGCGTCTTGCACTGCATTCTACCTGAGGAGTTGGTAAATAATCGGAGTTTCTTCCTTCTTGACACAAAACTTCTCCAAAACCTTATGTAATCTGGATCTACCGAGGGTCATAGAGACGGTTGTTTCCCTGGAAGTGGCTCAGTAACGGAAATGTGCTAAAAAACGCTTAGAAATTCTATTATCAAAAGGGTGCCGTAAAGTGATAAGGAGGGACGTCGGAACAGCTAATTTTTGCACTATCCAAATATTAATATTTTCTTAAAATCAAATTCTCAGACCATTTGTCAAATTATTCAATTTCAAAATTTTCGGCAGCTTTCCAAATATTAAAGAGATATAAAACGACCTTATTTCTGAAAACACGAAAGAATTTTTGTTGATGGCCCCACGCGAATGATCAAAAATGCTACCGTAGCTTTTACTTTAGATGCTCTTCCGCTTCAATGATGCAGAACCATTTAATCTCCATCGTTGTTGGACTGTCGACATAACGCGCAGGAATAAGGAGTCAGGATTGCCTGTGATCCCGGATACTGCTCAGTTCGAGATTCTGCGGTGGCCTGCACCTGTAGAACACTTGTGTAGTTCAAATAATTAAGCATTTCAAGCCTATTCTCCTTCCAGAAAACAGTAAACTCTTCTACAGATGTCTGTCTCTTAACAATGAACAATGCCATGTGACAAGCTATGTCCATTTTTTACTCACCAGAATAAATACATTGAAAAAAAAAACAACAAATTTTTTCCTAGCTGGAAAGAGCTGAACTTCAATGTTGGCCTTCCCCTGATTCCACTTTACGACACCCAAATACCCGAGACCGGAGCCCAAGTACCAAAGCGTGTTCCATGTCATTGCCCTGAATGATCAGCTCGCTGGAAGAGTGGAAGTTATGTGGACCTTCAGTGTTTGCGAAATCAGAGCAATTGTAAAACTAGTGTTGTCACTTCCTACGGGTTTTTTGAATGACCCCTTCGACATCCTTCTAGTATGAGTTCTTCATCATCTGGGTGCTTCCTTTATTCTGGTAATGAAGATGTTGAGGTACACACCAAGCAATAATACTGCACAATCGTCTGAGTTCTGAGGAATCCTCATGATGGCGTCACGACTTGAAAGTAATGCCGATGCTTTCTTTTTTTCAATTGAAGGAACTAACCTTCTCAGTGCATGACTTCAGTGGACTATCCCGACAGATATTTTGAGCACTTACCTGGTTGAACGTTACTGAGTAAAGCTTGAATTTGCATTGACTAAAAGAAATCTGATCATGAAGTTGTGCCAAATATAACGCTAGAGTTTTTGCGTTTCAACACATCCCCTTTACAAGAGATCTTCTGGGTTTACACCTGAGCTGTTATGGGTAATTATAGTTTCGAGAAAAACAGGATGGCTCCGACAATTGACTATTTTCTTGGGTTATATTATTGCTTCCTATGATGTCCTTTATCCTATCGTACCTCCTTCAAGTTAGGACCGTAGGACGACAGTCATGCGTGTTACCCCGATAAAGCAGCTACAAATTGTTGTATGTATTACGGTAGTTCGAAAAATCTGATCTCTCGACTCAACCACTAGAAAGCGGTATACAAATAAACGTGACGTGGTGGGGTCCCTGAATCGGATTTTATTCTGAAAGGCATAGCCCTGTCGGGGCGGAGGTGGTGTAGTGGCAATTAGCGCAACACACGCTTGGTCACGGGCTTGAATCCTGTACCGATATACGCCTGGGCCAATTAAGCCTTCCATCATTTCGGGCTCAGTCAATGGGTACCAGACTCGACTGGGAGGATAAAAGCACTGACTTGCACATTGACTGGCCACCCGCAAGTCACTGACCATTTTGAATAGAGGTCGAATGCGTGCATGGGCGCATCCCTCAGATGGGCTTGTTGGACGCTCCAAGACTTCATCCTTCATCCTTTTATAGTCAGATAGACATATTAGGCTCAGTGGAACGAAGGAACGTTCTCCTCAAATTCGTGCAACTATCGAAAGATCAGAACAAAGCCTTAGTTTCAGTGTAGCACAGATTCGGCAGTGCCATATTTTTATAGCGATTTGATACCCTTTCATTGGAGAGCGTGCGATCCCATAGGAGCTATTCAGTCAAGTTTAGTTTCATTTCTCCCAAACGAGACCTGTACATGCAACAGAGTAATTGTAAATTCAGCTCTGTAGCTATCTTCGATCTGGTTCGAAATGATCTCAGGTCTAAAATGATGTATGAGAGGAATGAAATCACCTACTGTTTAGCCCTAGCGAGGCTGTCCGTCAGAGTCGTTAGCTGCATGAATAGGAACTACCTCCTTTTAGTCTTGCATCCCGGAACACTTTAGTAACTGCTAATATTCGTGCGATACCGAGCCAAAACGAGCCTTACCCGCAAATAGCCACCAAATTCAATAACAGATTCGAGAACCCACTTTTTAGTCTAACAACACCCCATAATAGAATCAGTCCTTCTCCTGCTGATGAGCCAGCGAGTCAGCCAAAGTTAGACTGAGACGCTGCAAATTCTCCCCCATTCTGTTCATTAACGAAAATTTCGCCAGCTTTTTCTGCTTATGTTATGTTCATGATATCTTCCACCCAAGCTCGAAACTCTGGGGTCGAAGTCTTGGGTGCAAATTCAGCTGTCTACAGAAACGATCGCTCGGAAAACTGAAAGAAATTTTCTAATTTTTATTTGCTAGTAACACCTTCAATTTCAATGGAGGTGGTGAAGTGGCAAGTGGCGCACAATATTACACGCACGGTCAGGGGCTCGAATCCCGGATCGATGTCCGCCTGAGCCAACTAGACCTTCCATCCCTCCGGGGCTGGCGGATTGGAACCAGACTTTTCTGGGAGGATAAAAGCACTGACTTGTACATCGGTTGACCACCGCAGGTAATTGTATAGGTCACATACGCACTCAGTACGCCGCTACGACTCTGAATGGAAGTCATGTGCGGGGTGCATCCTTCAGACGGGATTGAGTAACTGAAAAAACTTTATCCTTTCATCCTTTGAAGGATCAAAGATTGTGCAGTGTGTATCCTTGGACGAGCTTCATCGGCATTGCAAAGGCTGCAACATTCACAAGGGAACGCATGTAGGAGACTCAAGCAATTGTCATGGCATATAGCGATAGTAAAAGGCAGTTCTCTACAGGTCTGGTCTGATGTAGCTCTTTGTGCGATTGCAACAACTGAAATCTCGTTCGAATACCTCTTCAATGTTATTTCCGTCATGGTAACCTTGTCCAGCCTCTACGATAATTCGAAGGTACACTTTTCAGGTTAAAAAGCGTCGATGTAGAGGAGTACATCGGTAGCGAAGAAAGCGTGGAAATCCCCTTACTTCAAGGCTTTTCAAAAGTAGGGAAAGGGAGGTTGTACGAGACCACCGTGACGGTAATGGCATGTAAGGGGTGTTGGATGAGATCTAACTTGCTCCCTTCGTGCAAAGAGCTGTCTAAATCAAGCGGAAATAGTCCGAAACTGCCTTTCACTGTCATAACGGGCTTTGACAAGTTGTTTGAACTTTCTACTTTAATTCCCTTATGAATGGTGCAGCCTCTACCACGCCGTTGGAACTCGTCCACGATGGGTGTAGCATTCACATGATGCAATCTCTGCTCCCTATTGTGCCTTAACCAGGACCTTTTTCGCCCTTATAACGACAGGTATGGTATAAGGGGGAGCCTCCAATTCATACTATAAAGAAATCTCAGAAACTATTTTAATCGTGAACTGTGCCTTTGAGGAGCCATATTGTCTCGAAATCGGCGATTTCTCCCGCTTTCTTCACTACCGATGAACTAGTCCCAACCTATACTACTGCTTTTTGAATAAATCTCAAACCCCAAAGGATTACTCAGAATTGTCGCGAACTGCGATTTCAAATTGTCGTGTTT